GTGTGAGAGAGAGAGAGAGAGAGAGAGAGAGAGAGAGAGAGAGAGAGAGAGAGAGAGAGAGAGAGAGAGAGGGGGGGGGGGGAAGGGGGGGGGAAAGGGTGGTGAGGATATTGTGCGTGCAGCACCCTAAGCTGCAATAGACAATAAGACAAGACACAAGTTCCAAGTTCTATTAATGTTGAGGACAAGAGCACAGTGCAAGTAGTAGAGAGGACAAGACGGCAAGCAGAAAGGGAGACAATAGAACAAAAGCACAGTGCAAGTAGCAGAGAGGACAAGACGGCAAGCAGGAAAGAAGATAGTGTCACTTACAAGAACACAAAGCATGGTGCAGTCAGCAAAAAGAACCTGAAGACAGGTGAGTGGCAATGCAGGCAGCAAGAAGGCAAAGCACAGCGCGAGCAGTTGGAAGGCCATGACGGCAAGCAGGCAAGGCAACAAGGCACTACCGTCTTCTCCCGAATAGAACGTACGGTCATTACTGTTGTATGTAGATTGAAAGTTGCGCCAAATACAGCTGTGATGACCCTACGTTCTATTCGGGGGAAGTTGTAGGCAGGTAAGCAGGCGAGCTGGCAAAAAAAAAAAAAAAAGGCAGGCAACTGACAAGGGAGGGAGGGCGGGAAGTAGCCAGGCAAATAGCAAAAAAGACTGAAGGCAAGGCAGGCAGCAAGAATGCAAAGCGCAGTGCAAGCAGTTGGGAGGACAGGACGGCAAGCAGGAAAGGGAACGAGGCACATTTTTGAAGAAGAGAAAAATGACGAATGCATCTTCACGCAGAAGGCGGGAAGATGGGTTCTTTACAAGCAGGCAAGCAGGCAAGTCACAAGGAGCAAGGTACATGGCAAAGAAAGGCAGGCAAGTGGGGGAGGGAGGGGGGGGGAGGTGGGGATGGGTGGAATGGGGATCACTAAGGCAACAGAGCAGCAGGTCAGTAACTCACAGTAGAGCCCAGCGTTGATGTCAACGCAACAGGTCACCTATCGGATCGGAAAGAACAAAGAAGGCTACCCACTTACGTGCACGGAATGGAAATGTGCAATGACTTGCTGTTTCTGGTCGCCTATAGCCTCTCTCTGTCGAGGCTGTACCATAGGTAGTGTAGATTCGTAATTTTGTTTGGCTGAGGGCTGACCGAGAGACCTACCTGTAGTGGGAATTCGTGAGGGACATACCTGCAAATTTGGGAAAATATAGGCCCAGCACTAACTGAATTTCCTACTGCAACCCTAACTGCGAATAGCAGGCCCGGGCTACCCCTAGGACAGACAGGCCCTAAAGGCCTATGCTGATAGACGTTCCTATAGCCTATAGCTGGGTAAGGTAGAGACCGAGAGGCCGAAACTGAATCGGTACTGGTCAGTCAGTCAGTCCGGTCTAGGTCGAGTCTAGGGTAGTTTTAGTCTATAGATAGGATGGGCACATCGGTTCAGGGCTTTTGGCAGTTGGTACCGAGTACATCGCTGCTGTGCTACGCGTGAACCGGAAGTGGTGACGGCTCAGCCTAGAAGGAGACGGGCATAGCCAGACCTTCGGAGCGCCGGCCATAGCTGGGACCTGCGCTGTACTCCGCCAGCACATAGGGGCTGTCAGAGGTCTGGGTTATCGAGGTCTGCTGGAGGCGAGAAAAGTTGGTGTCCTGCTGGACCCTCCTCTGGAGTGGGGTTCCAGGGTTGTGGCGCTGCAGCCATAGCTGCAGCTTCTTCCTCAGAGGTCGCCTTGTCAGGGTTTGGTGGCGCTGCTGCAGACTTCCATCCGGGAAGTCTTCCGACACTTCGTCATCATCAGATACTGTGGCGCTGGTCTTCTTCTTCGTCCTCTGAGTGGCGCTTGGCCTCAGAGGCCTGTTTCAGGGTGGTGCTTCCCTTTGGAGGCTGTATCTGGGTGGTGCCTGATGTTTCAGGGGCTCAGGGGTGTCACGAGTGGTTACTCAGGGTTGGGGAGTGAAGCGCTGCTCATTTCTGAGCAGGGCACTGTAGTATTGAGGTTATCCTGACAATTTGAGACTCTTGAGTTTAATAAACAGTGTGATACTGGGTTTGGACTATCATCGTTTCATTGTTTCCTGGATGTGATCTACTCGGCTTTTCTTTATGACTGGTTGTGAGGATTGAGTGGAGTGAATTGCACTTTCAGTGTACCCTGTCATATCGCATGGTCAAGTCTTCCGCTGTGTTTATCTCTCCCTGTGCGGTGTGATACTCCTATCCTCTCCCCTTCCTTCTGTGTATGTATGGGCATACCTGGAAGTCTATGTGAGTGAGTGTTGGTCTTCAGACAGCAAACAACCAGAATCATAACAAATGAGTGAAGACGGAAGTCTGTCATCACCAAGGAACAACATAGGGAGAGAGATGATGATAACACTCAACTCCCCTAACAGCGTAAAAGGGGAGAAGAGGGGGGAGGGGACGGGGGAGGGGAGAAACACTCAACCAACCTCAGACACCGTTTCTGTCAAGCGATGCACTGTCAGACGTTGAACAACAAGAGAGAATTGATGAGATACGGGAGGAATTTGCAGTGCAAATCCAGGCACATAAAAAAAAAAAAAAAAATTAAAATTTAGCGTTTACACCCCCTAAAAGTTGTCATACCTTGTAAGTGTGCCGGTGTTGGGTTCATTATTCGTCTCACACATGCTGTTTGACAGGGTCAACCTTGTGCCATGTGGACATCATGCTAGTTTTTGCCAGTGGGCCTAACAGCCATCAGGACTTGGGTAGCGAACGAACTTGTGTGGGGCCTACCAGGGAAAGGAGAAAAGTTTGCAGGCCCGAATGACACAGTGTTTTTTTCATAAATTGGGGGCCATGTCAGAGGGGCATATGATGAATAATGCAATTCCTGGGGATCCAGACGAAATATGTAAACTTACAGGGTACCACCAGAGTTGCACAGGCCGACTGTCGGCACCCCTTGATTGGTTGCCTGCCGACCAGCCGACCACCCCCATACTCCCTGACAACACCCCCATACACCCTCACCACACCCCTAAACCGCCCCTCAACACCATCAACACCCTCATAACCCCCCCCCCCCCCCCCCCCCCCCCCCCCCCCCCCCCCCCCCCCCCCCCCCCCCCCCCCCCCCCCCCCCCCCCCCCCCCCCCGCACACACACACACATAGCCCCTGCATAACGCCCCTGTATCATCCCCAATCCCCAAAATTTCTCAGCGGATTTGGGCTGTACAGTCCCATAGTCAGATTAAAAAAATAAAATCATTAGATGGCTGTTTACTAACTGGTCGGCAGACGTGGACCCTACCGGTAGGCTGCAAAACGGTCGGCGGTCGTGGTAGGCGGTCGGCGGGTATGCAACCTTGGTACCACACAAATTTTCCCTAGTTCAAATATGAGGCAGTGAGACACATTAAAAAACCCTTTTTGGTTATTCGTACCCATCAATGAACAGCTGCTGTGCTACACAAAAGCGAGGGTTTATCTTTAATAACCTTGGAGGGGCCCTAAAAGCCCTTCCCCTAAACACAACGCACCTTCAAAATGACTCTATCAGCTAGGATTTATAGCTCCTATTAATTCACAATTAGGAGGGTTCGTTGCTCTAAGGGAAGACTGTAGCCTGACACAAGTAGAAGGTTAGGTCTTGATGAGCCCCAAGGCCCCAGTTTGCTTTGTGATAGCCTTGGCATGGGGCCCTCCAAGTCCTCAAAGTGTTGAAGGACCAGTTGCAAAGGACTGAGCTCAATGCCCTCATTAAGACCCCAGTATGGTGCAGTATCGACTTCGCAGTGCGGGGCCTTCTAAGCCTCTAGCACCAAGCCCTCATTAAGACCCTAGTTTGCTGTGGCATTGGGTTGCCTTCGAAGCCTTGGCACTGGATCCTCCATATGCCCAGCCTGTACCAAAGCAAACTCGGCCTTGGTGAGGGCCCCAAAGCCCTCATTGAGACCCCAGTATGCTCTGGTACCGCCTTGGCGCTAGTGGACCTTCTAAGCCGGCATCAAGCTTATATTAAACCAGCACTAGGCGTCCCAGGCAAAAAAAGGAGTGAATTCGCGTATGTCCAAAACTTTAGGGGGCTACCTGACAAAAACCAGCGAAAAAGAAAAGAAACCGCGCTTCCACCGGCTCTTTACTTCGGCATGCAGCACGATTTCGGGTCGATAAGAACAGCCTTGGACGTAGTGGTGGATTAAACCACCAGTACTTTCTAAAGTAGTGCCTGTTAACAAGTCACAATTTTGGGAAACGTACGGGCCACTACAGGAGCGCCCAAATTCATCCGACTAGAAACGTTTCTACTCTATTTTTTTCCGCAGCCTAGCTGGGCCAAGTACTGGTGGTTTAAGACCCTAATATCCTCTGGTGCCGGCAGGGCAGGGCGTTCCTGGCGTGCCGTCTTCTTTTTGGTGTCAAAAAAGAAAAAATGAAGAGAAAGGTATTGGCACAGAAGAGAGAAAGAGTGTGCCTGCCTGTGGCTGTATGGTACACACCTGACTACTGATGAGACAGGTTGAAAGTTCAAATCGTGATGGATTCAAAGTTGTAAGGGGCTGTAACCCCCTTAAAAACCAAGAAAAGTATCAACGATCTGGGATGAGAGGGTTGTGGAACGAGATTTTTAGTAGGAGATTAAGATTGAGGACATGCTGGGGTATGGTTTAGGTGAACAACTGGTGTAATGGTTACAGGTGGGTAACGCCAGAAAATAGTGGGTGGAGGGGGGTGTGATTTTTCTTTCGTATCTTGTTAAGAAAACCCTAGTTTCCTTAGTCCTTCTCCTCACACCTGGCCCTCTCCTTCTCCTCTGTGTCTTCTGTCCGTTCTTTCACTTGTTCTCCTCCATTGACTTCTCCTTCTCCTTATCCATCCTTCCCTCTCTTACCTTTTCTTTCTCTGCTCTCCTCCCTCTCCTCCCTCTCCTCCCTCTCCTCCCTCTCCTCCCTCTCCTCCCTTACCCCATCCCTTTCCTCCCTCCCCTCCCTCCTCCCACTCCTCCCTCCCCACTCTCTCCTCCCTCTCTGCCCTCTTCTCCCTCCCAATTCTCTCCGCCCTCTGCTCCACTCCTGGCCCCCTTTCCCGCTCTGCACCCTCTCTCCTCCCTGTCCTCCCTGTCCTCCCTGTCCTCCCTCTCCTCCCTCTCCTCCCTCTTTGTCTCTTTTTCGTTCTTCCCCATCTCTCTCTTGTTCTCCGTCCAGGAGCTAAAAGCGAGAGAAGGGAAGGGCTTAATTGGGAGGAAAGCGAAGGAGAAGAGAAACGGTGACTACTGTAGACGGTTGGATTCCATTGCTGCAGGCAGTTTCAAAGTTCAACACCTTCACTCTTGATGACATTGATGGCGTTTTCGAGAAAAGCATCGTGGATCTGAAGTACTCCCAGCATCTTCAACTGACAGGTAACTAACGATTGCTCTCGATCTTCAGACTCTGGTCATCCCTTTATTCCTTTTCTTTTCTGGCTCTTGGTTGCAATTTCTCTCTTTTTTTTTGCCCCTTCTATTCTGTGGGCGTCAGTCCGGTTGCTTATCACCGGCAAGCATGACCAAAGTTTTTTACAGCAAGGAGAGAAAGAGACAGGAAAGCCTCACCCTTGTGGCACTAGACGCTTGATTGCGATTTTCTCATTCTAGTTTAGCCAGCAGTTGACTATGGTGGAGTGGGTGATCATTAGATATCCTGTTTGTCTCTGCGAATGTTAATTACCTATCACTCTCTTGTTCATTGGCCCGAAATACATTTCAGTGGGATTCATTCTGAGCAGAAGTGAGGTTCTCTGCCAGCAGCAGTCCTTTGAATGGAGAGGTTTTATCACTGTTATGGTGTTCTTTGCCCCGCTGCTGACTTTGAGGCCATTTATCATGATGCAGTGTGTGGGAGAGGGAAAGTGTTTTTTAAGTTGAGGTGTGATATGGCGGTTTGGGGGAAAGGGAGCGTTTTCTGAAGGGAAGGAGGGAGGGAATTGGGAGGGGAGGGATTTGGGAGGGAGAGGGGAAGAGGAGGTGAGGGCTTGGTAGGGGGGAGGTGGGGAGGGAGGCAGGAATGTCCACGGTGCTTTTGTTTCCTTTAGCTCATTCTCAATGCCAAGTCGAGCCAACGGAGGGGTAAATTATTTTAATTATGTTTAGATCGCATTTGCATGTGGGCGGATTATCAGCCCCAATTATTTTGATCGGATTATCAGCCCCAATTATTTTGATTATGTTCAGAATCTTCAGATAACATTTGCATCTGGCAGCATTATCACCCCCCTGAGAGTGGATAGGACTCTGTCTGTAATGGCTGTGTATCAGTGTTTTCACTGTTTTGCCATTTGCTTGCATATCTCAGTGAGCACTTAACAATTCCGTTTTTTGCTAGGACGATTTGATTCTCACGTCCAGCCGGTCCTGCCCGGTCGGGCACCCAGGTGTGACACTCGGGGTGGTTTTCTGCGCTCTCCCAGAGGACCCCAAATCTGGGCTCATTTCTTTTTTTGCGAGTTGGCTATAAATTGGTTTTAAAGGGGCTAAAGGGGTTTAAAGGGGGGTGCCTTAGTGAGATTCTGTTATTTTCTTTTCTATTTCCGATTCTGTGAGGAATTCTAATGTGACCCTCAGCCAAAAGTCGTTTGTATTGATTTTTTTTTTTTTTTTTTTTTTTGCGCTGGGTCTGCCCGGAACCCTGCCTGGGGCTCATGCCCGGCCGGGCACCCGGGCTTGTAACCGGGCATAAGTTGGGTGCCCGGGCGCCCAGGCGCCTGGAAAAACAGCCTTTTTTTTTTTTTTTTGTAAACCTCTGCATCTTGTATTTTTCAAAATGCAAAACAACTCCAAGGAGCTTCCTTCAGTTTTTTGGGGGGGAATTTTCGGGGGAGGCATTGGAAATCCCTTCCACGTGTTTCATCCAATGTTAATTGTAAGAATGATTGTTGGGTTTTTAATAGTGTAAGTTAAAAAGAAGCTGTGACTCTGTGAGTAATTAATTGTCCATTGCCATAAGAAGTAAGAACTTCCATCCCAAGATTCAATCTTTTCGGGGAGCTATCATAAAACGTTCCATTGCATGTCTTGTCCTTCGTCTTGAATTGCCAGTCACGTCTTGTAACTTCTGGTAACCTTTGGTAACTTCTTGCAACTTTTAGCAAGTTCCTGTAACCCGTACTAGTTTGTAGTGACTCGTAACTTTTCATAACCCCTAGTAACCTTGAGTAACTCCTAGTAAGCCTTAGTAATTTCTAGTCATAACTTTTTGTAACCCCCAGTAACCCCTAGTAACTCCTAGTAAGCCTTAGTAACCCCTAGTAACCCCTAGTAACCCCTAGTAACCTCAAGTAACTTCGCGTAAACCTTAGTAACTTCTAGTCTTGTGACCTCTAGTAACTTCTAGAAATCCCTAGTAACTTCTAGTAACCCCTAGTAAACTTCTATTAAACCCTAGTGCCCTCCTGTAACTTCTAGTAACTTCTAGTAACTTCTAGTAACTTCTAGTAACTTCTAGGAACTTCTAGTAACTTCTAGTGACCCCTTACCTTCTTAGTGACTTCCTAGTAACTTCCTAGTGACTTCCTAGTGACTTCCTAGTGACTTCCTAGTGACTTCCTAGTGAGTCCCTGGTAAGTTCCTAGTAGCTTCCTAGTAATTCCTAGTAACTTCCTTGTAACTCCCACTAACTTCCTAGTAACTTCCTAGTAACTTCCTAGTAACTGCGTAGTAACTCTGAGTAGCTTCCTAGTAACTTGGGGTTGATATGATATGGCTGTCTTTTGACAGGAAAAGGTGAAGGTATTACCATCACTGCATACGCTGCAGGTCACCTGCTTGGGGGAACAGTATGGAAGATAACAAAAGACACAGAGGACATCATCTACGCAGTAGACTATCATCACCGGAAGGAAAGGTGAGAGGGGAAAGCTAACTTGCTACTGTGGAATGATAAGGATGGGGAGACTATGTGCTCCTGGTGCTAGTGTAGGGTGAAGGTCACGGTAAAGCAAGCAAAAGTATATTTACAGCAAGGGAGATAATTAATCATACAAAGAACATCATCTATCCAGTAGACTACTGCCATCACCGAGAAGGAAAGGTGAGATATGGAAACTCGCTCATTTAACTAAACGATTCGGCATCTCAAGACAAACATAGGGTTGGTGAATGTACTCATCCTACCGTCTTCACACAAACACGACACGCTCTGATCATGAATGTATCTGAACGATGTCTCCGGTCTGATACAGTCGCAATGAAGGTGTGTTGTGTTTGGGGGAAGATGGTAGCTACTATGCAATGATGATGATGAGGAGGAGGGTAGTGCTATGTGTTCATTTTGCTATGTCAAGGTACAGTAAGGAAAGCAAGAAAAGCAAGAAAAGCAAGAAAAGTAAGAAAAGCAAAAGAAGGCAAGAAAAGTAAGAAAAGCACAAAAAGGCAAGAAAAGCAAGTTAATAAAGGGGATTTAGTATATACCCATGCAATGTTATGGAGAAAAAAGGAGATGAGAAAGCTCATGGTAACTCTTTTGACAAGCATATAGTGTAGTATAGAAGGTTGTTGTATGCCGTTATGGGGAAAGAAAATAAGAAAAACTGGGATGAGACAGCTTACAGAACTCTTTTGGAAATACATAGAAGGGTGTTGTATGCACTTGCGCTTCTGCACAATTGTGAGAGAGTGAGTTGAATCTGCGGTGTGGAAGGCTAGGGAGTAAAAGCAAGGATATGTTCATGCTGTTGTTCTGTGCAAGGTGAAACATGTATAACTCAAGAATTGAACACTTTGTGAATGTAGTAATAAATACATACATGAAACTATGCCAAACATAGGTACCTCAAGCAGGTAGGTACCTGTAGACTTATGGGAGCAAGTTGATATTCAGTAGAGTAACCCTGCCGTCCTGACAAGCACTGCAGCAGGACCTTACCTCCTAGAGGCAAATGAGAGAAGCGCCTTTGTACAACTCGCCTATTCTTTGCAGATCTCCACTACCTAAATACTCTGTGTGACCAGACTCTGCATGTCTGGTAAACTTGCTGGTAACCTGTGGTTTTCCCAACTTCTCTCTCCTTGAGAGCAATTCTCACCTTGTGAAGTGCACTTGGATGGCTTGGATGTATCTTCTTGCTCTTGCGCTTGCTCTTGCGCTTGCTCTTGCTCTTCTTCTTCTTCTTGTTCTTCTTCTTCTTCTGCTGCTGCTTCTTCTTCTTCTTCTTCTTCTTTTATATTGAGCCCAAGATGGCTTGGATGTATCTTCTTGCTCTTGCTCTTGCTCTTGCTCTTGCTCCTGTTCTTGTTCTTGTTCTTGTTCTTGTTCTTGTTCTTGTTCTTGTTTTTTCATATTGAGCCCAAAGTCAGCCCTTGTGTCGTGCTCATACCTATAGATATAATTAAGGGTAAGTTTCAAAAATATCGCGTCGCGGTAGTTTCACAGCAAAAATATTGGTGGCGCCCAAGTTTCGTTGCAAAAATATATCTTTCGTTGCAGCTTTAGAGCTCCCGGTTGTTTCACAGCAAAAATATATGTGGGCGAGGTCCCACTTTCCTTGCAAAAATAGATCTTTCGGACCCGTATAACATTTCTGCTGCCAAACTTCAAAAACACTCTATCTCTGCAATTACCCCTATAATTAATCACTTTGTACTCTGGTCGGTAGATAGCGTCAAGTGTTTTGTGTTTTCTTACAAAGGAAACTTATCTTGTACTTCCCCCATTGATAAAATCAAAGCATCTTGGTTGTGAGCGGTGTGCCATGTCGTGCGACGGCACTTCCGTGCTGATGCTACTGTATGATCTTGCAGGCACTTGAGTGGTACTGTTTTGGAGACTTTTGTCAGGCCTGCCGTGCTCATTACGGATGCATACAATGCCTTAAGCAATCAAGCATTCAAGAAGGAGAGGGATCACCTCTTCATAGGTGAGTAATGCAGTGGTATTCAGATGTGCCAGCTATGAAATTTAGGCAGGAGCTGCAAGCTGAAGAAGACTGTAAGGAATGTCAAGGATTGTGCTCTTTCTTCTTCCGCTTTTTGAGGCCTGAATGGTTTTAAGTGTTGTTGCTCTTTGCTCTGCTGTTTTTCTTCTTCCTTGTTGTTGGTATTGCTGTTTTTTTTTTTTTTTTTTTAGGGGGGGGGGGGGGGGGGGAGAGAGAGAGAGAGAGAGAGAGAGAGAGAGAGAGAGAGAGAGAGAGAGAGAGAGAAGAGAGAGAGGGAGGGAGGGAGGATGGAAAATGGCAGTTCCGGCCATTTTCCTACTCGAGATGTTGCCTTTACTGAAGGGAGTGCTCAATTTTGATCGCTTGACTACCGTCTTCACCTGAATAAAACGCCTGGTCATTGTCGCTGCATCTGGCCTGAAAGTTGGCCCAAATACAGCCATAATGACCGGGCGTTCTATTCGGGTGAAGACTGTAGTGTTTTCTGTGCTCAATTGTATGTTTCAGTTGTTTCCGTACTTGAGACATAGCCTCTACTAGAATAATCTTGTTTCATTAGTGGTTCTATGCGATCAGTAAGCAGCGTGCTGTTGCATTTTGTGTGCATGATTGTGAATCTATCCAGCTGTCACTTGACATTTGTGTCCTGGGCTTCTTGATATTCCTTACTGAGTCTGATGATACCTTGGTTAAGGTATTTCAGACCTTAGTTAAGGTATTGCAAGCCATTATGAAGGAGGAGGGAAGGGTGTGTGGTTGTCGCATGTGTAGTTGGTCTCCCCTTCGTGTTGCTGCTGGTAATTGTTGTCTCCTTGAGAAATCTTTCTTCGCTGTAATTGCTGCTCTGCTTCCCATGATTCGAGAAATCTTTTTTGAAGTTTTTCTCGCTGTATTTCGAATGTTTTTTCTTTTTCTTTTTTTTCTTGCTTAAACCACCAGTTCAGCTGAGCCGATCTGTATGAACTGACCCTGCAGTCCTGCCCAGCCTGAAATGTCACTCCTACTGGGCCACACCGAACCAACTTTGATTGAGAAATGCATTCGGTTTGAAACGAATATGATGTCAAGTCCGGATGGCCCTTATGGGTTGGGTCATGGGCCAAGACATTTTTTGTTTGTTTTTTAGTCTTTTTTGAAGTTTTTTCCCTGATGTGGAGTAACTTAAGCAACATCCCTGATTTCTTTTGGGAAATTTTTGTTGCCGGAAATAAGAACGTAAAATCTCCGAAGCCCGGGTAGTCCGAATTTTGCTCATCCCCTGGCCGAAGCTAAATTCTCTTACCATGCACACTGGTAAGAGGCAGACTTAGCTTCGGCTGAACTGCTGGCTTAAAACAGGTCCGTATGGTCCTGGCCTCATTCTATTCTTGGAAGCATCAGTCCGGTTCCTTTGCCCTGAGTCTGTAAAGTACATACGTTTGGAACACTTCACGCTTTCTGTCGGTCGAGGCCGAAGGACCCATGTGAACAGCATTGATTGCTCCGCAATGGCAGAATTGACCGAGGATCTCATTTCCAATTGTCATGTGGTTCCATTTTGTGGTGGTGGTGGTAGCGTATCCTCTTCACAAAGCAGGTAAAGCGTTTGAAAGTTTGAAAAAAGGTTTCAGGGGGTGGTGTTGGGTGTCTGTTGAGCTGAAATTCTCGTCAGTTGTTCTTTCAACTTCTTTGTGTTCTTTGTTTTGTCAACGTGGTTCTGATTCTGGCTTTTGTTTTTGCTGTCGCAGATTCGATAATGAGTACTCTTCGAGGCAATGGGAGTGTACTGATTCCTGTCGAGACTGCAGGTCGAGTGCTGGAGCTCATCCTTTATCTAGAACAGGTGAACGGGGATATCAAATATATTTCCTTCCTTACCTTGGCAATTAATGTGCTTTCCATGCTACCTGTAATGGTCTCCAGTTGGGCTCAGGAATGTCTGGATACTTGCGGACAAGTTGGGGTGTCTGGATCTGCACTTACAGCGTTACCAGTAGCCTTGTGACGAGTCTGTCGAGGTCTGATGAGACAATCTGTCATGGCCCACAGGGCGTTGTGCTTCTTTCCCTGTCTCCCTAGGGTTGACTACGTGGTTCTTCGTAGCAATATATATATATAATATATATATTATATTTGTGACGATATATATATCGTCAAATAGATTATATCCTACCCCTTAAGCGCAGTGGGCCCGCGGGGGGAGGTCGTGTTCCGCTGCGTGCTGAAATCAGCCCGAAGTTTTGATTCGGGCCGGCGGATGAAGGCGATCGAGGGAGGGGCGTTGTGCAGAGTGGCGCGCGTACCGAATTGTTCACAGCGCACCACTAAACGAGAGAGCGCGCCTACGGGGCCGGGTAGACGGTGGGCGTCGATGTGCATTAATATCTGAACGCGGCCGCCGTCGGATTGCAAGAAAGTGTCGTTTCGTGCCCCGGCCCCTTTTTTCTTTTCTTTTTTTAATTTTTGATTTTGTATATTCTTGAATTCGTTTTT